TGGCGGGAGAGACTTTAGAGTAAGTGTATATTAATCCTTCGATTTTGAGGGCAGAATTTAACATTTTGACTCTTTTTATTAAAGAATAGTGTGCAAAATAGGGATGAGGGAGTAGATTTAAACTGGTTTTAGCACTGGTCTACAACCGTACATAGCAACCGATAAGTCCGCGGCTGAACCCTAAGCTGGCGGGACTTCATCGTATATAGTCGTAGTGATTAGGAAGCAACGTCAGAAAAATTTTCTTCTGTTTTAAAATAGGATCGTTAACAATGAATTTCAATATGAAAATTTCCATTTTATAATTATTATTATCTATTTTGCAATTAAATTGCCATTATTTACTTTACATAAACTAAAACTCAAATTTATTATTATAATTTACTTTCTCCTCAATTTTTTTTATTTATTAGGAAGAATTTAGGACTTAATTTAATTTTTTTATTATTTTTTAAATTTATCCTTTCTTATATCTCACTAGAAACTGAAGCGTGAGCATTTGAATATATAATAACAACTAGATAATTATAGTTTCTTTTTTTATTTATTTACTAGTTAATTTTTAAACATAGTATTTATAAACTTCATACATATTGGAAAATTACTAAAATTATATTTTTTTCTTGTTATTTTAAGAACACGTTTAGAGCCTGTGAATTACCTTAGTTATATTGGAAAATTTATAGCTTCATTATGGATGAAAAGTTCTATTCATCTAGCTTTTTCTCCCTTCTTTTACTTCAGTTCTTGGGCTGTTGATTTGGTTTCAATTTATTTGTTATCCATAAAATCTCTATTAATAATTTTTGATCTTCTTTATTTAATGGAAGATTTCACTTTTAGGCAGATGTTTCTTTTGTATTTGATTATATCAAAATTTCAGAAATTTAAAAAGTAATTTATAATAGATGAAGTAAATTTACTTTAAAGATAATTATTTTAAAAGTCTATATTTAGATAATTATAACAACACAGCGAAAGTAAATTTTACACAAAAAGTAATTTAATATGAAAAATTATTTTAATAGTCTAAAAATAGTTATACTATAAAAAAAAACAAGATTGAAAAATAGGATTATAACATGAAAAGTGAAATTTAAAAAAAAAATCAAAAGAATAATATTATGAATATAAAATATAAACTTGATTATGAAAATAAATATGGTGTAGAAAGTATGTTTTCACCATTTACTTAGAATAAAAATCTGAATTAATAATGAAATGAGTTAGTAGGAAAAAAAAGCTAATCAATTAAAAGTTGAAAAATATAAATTTAAAGATATTGGAAATAATCAGGATTTTCTGTAGTGTAAGGAATTAAATTGAAAATAATGAGATCATCTATTCCTTCATTAAAAATTCAATTAAAATAATTATAATTCAATTAACCATTTTTATAATTTAAAAAACATCATTTCTTTCTTAAGGCTTTGCAATTATAAATAATTATCTTTCTTTTAGATAAACCTGAAACAAACAATGCAACAGCAATATTCTTTTCATCAATGCTTAACTTCCAAGTGTATGTGTTTTTGAGCTTCTTTATTTTTGTAATTCATTCCCTTTTGATATTTCTACCTACATCTTATTAAGATTAATTCAAGACTCTCAAAGACATTTTATTATTTGAATTTTTCATTCTTAAAATTATAGTAAATTAGGTAATTATATACCATTTTTAGATAGTTTTCAAAAATTGTTGAAATTTAAAATATAGTATTCGAAAAGGTGATATCTTTGCGTCAGGCCAATTTAAGATAGTGTGTTTTAGAGGTTTTCAGTTTTTTTCCACTAGTATAGTTTCTAATTGGTGAATATCCAGCCCTATTAGGACAGCAGATTAAGAAACATTTTGATTTATATTTAGCAGAGATTAAATATTTAATGTCATTTCAATAATTTCGAAATATGAAAATACCCGTTATTTATAAGAATTTTCTTTTTATGGGGATTTATATTTTTAGGATATTTGAATCAAGCAGTTTTCTAGCTGAAAGTTAATAAGTCAAAAAATTATTTAAATGGAATGATAATTCACTTGCCTTTGGTAACATTAATAAAAGAATTAAACGATTTGTTATCTATTAGCAGGTTAGGATCAATAGCAGGTTCTATTATAGATCCTTATGCTTCCTTAAACAATGATTTGTCTCAAAGCTTGCTAATATGTTTTTAAATAGCATGATTGAGTTTTATGATAATCATTATTCCCAATCAAATTGATAGATGGAACGATCTAAGAGAAAATACAACAGACACTTAATTGGATAGTGTAGATTTTAAGTAAATTAAGCATTTTACAATTTTATAGAACATTATTCAGCAAAAATTTTTATTCTTATTTTTCATTTAAATTTCTTATTTGTAAAGATTTTTAACCTTATGTAAAGAAAATTTACAATTTTATAAATAGATTTGCTTAAAATCCAGCTAATATATTTTTAGTATCCCTTATTATCTCTCTTCAATTTTAAGTATAAAATCATTCGAGTGTTGTATATAAAGAGAAAATATAACAATTAGATTTGGTTAGTTTGAGAAAAACAATTTTTAAACTATGGGCCTTTAACAACAAAGAAAATGAGATTAATTAATATTACATTAAAAGTTTGCTTTTGTTATTAAATGAACTTTGAAGATTTAAGAAATCTTGGTAAATTAAATTGAAGAATCAGCATAAAAGATAAAAAATCAAAAAATATGAAGGATCACTAAGAAAGCCATATTAGAAAATTAACCAAGATA